CCTTCAGTTTAGAAGGCAACATTGACGTTTAGGAAGAACTTGGGTTTGGGACCTTGCATGCTTGGATTTTCGTTCTAGCACTCATTGTGGTTACATCTCGCAAGGAAATAAATGTGATACTGTGTGTCAACGCACCAATCGCTTAGCAGATATTCAGATAATGCAAGGTTCATCTCCCATATTCAGTGCCACAAAGTTCACTCCTTTCTTCAAAAAAAAGGTGACAATAATGTTTATTTCTTTTTCAGGAATATATAATAAATCCCTGCGTACAGAATCAACTTTCTCCATTCACAGTCCCATTCAAGTACCTTCACATGGATGTGACTTCACTGGTTTTATTTCCCTCTGTGGCCCGTTTGAAACATTTAATCCACCAGGCTGGTGGTGTTCCCTGTCTGAACACTATCACTGTTCATAAAAACAACAGTGATAGTTACTGTTTATTATTACTACCAGCCATCGTGTTAAATCCTACATAAATTGTCTTATTAACTACTCACAACCACCCATGATGTAAGCACTGTTGTTTTTATTTAAGCGATGAGAAAAATGAAGGCAAGAGAGCTTATTTCCAAAGTTAGACATCTAGTAAGTTAAATAGTTTTCAAACTATTTTCTACTTCTCTGTGGTTCTTGAATTGTTCTTCCCTTGAATTCTTGTCTCTTCCCTACCCATCGAAATATGATCAAATTCTGCTTAAATGTATTCCTTTTTCTAAAACCTTTCTAGAAAGCCCAGGCTTCCTATAGTCTTTCCCTTCTTTGACATCTTCTATCATTTAGAATCATCACTGTGTTAGTCTCAGTTTGCTCATGTCTTGCACAAAAAGGGGGATTTTAGCTTCCTCAGAGTATGTAACCAACCCAGTCCTTCTTCTGCTCTTGCTGCTGTTTGATGGACCTTACAGCTCCTTGCTCATTCAACAAATATTTACTGAGTAGCCGCTAGATGCCACGTGATGAGGGTTTCTAAAATATACGAAGGAGGACCCAGGAGAAGACATCAGTTTCAAATGTGAGAAGAGATTTCTCCAGCAACTGAAGGAGTACAAATTCAGACTAGGAAAGGTTAAACTCAGTATTTTGCAGGAGCCAGGAAAAATGACTCTGGACTAAGAAATAAGCGGGTTCTTTCAGAGACCCCTATAGACGTGTGAAGGAACGTCCTTTAAAGCTGGGCTTCTCAAATGTTGTGGGTGTCTAGTTTTTGAAATTGTAGCATGCTAACTCCTGTCTGCAGTCAAATAGTGGCAAAGATGAGGAATAACTCTCTGTAGTGTGAAGCCGTGCCGTGATGACGCACTACAAGTCCTGAAGATTTTCAGAAGAGATTAAAGACAAGGCTGGGAAATCAGAGCTGGATTTCCGAAGCCACAGTGGCCAGAGAAGGAATCCTCAGTCCCCAGCTGCCCATGATGAGCACTTTGCAATTTGTGGAGACTGTTTTGTGGCTAATGCATGAGACACAAGTTCTTGTCACAAGATCAAAGGTGTCACCGTTTTAGAGTTTACCAGGTATCCAAAAATATAGGATGCATTTAATGCAATCTTTCTGAATAATGTAACCGGGGAAGCTGAGCAGTGTCTTGCAGTATTAGACAACAATCAAGGGTAGTTAAAGACAGTCAAGTTGTTTCACTGCATGTAACAGTTCAGAATTGGGAAAGCCTTGGGAAATCGTGCATAGATTTAATGAGTCACAAATTGTATTACCTCTCCAACAGGTATTTTAAATAGCACTTGCTTTTCCTTACACGTCAAATGCAAAATGAAAAAAGTGGCTTTGAAAATCAGTACTTGGAGAGACAAAAGGAAGAGTCATGATGTCAGCCTTTAAATTGGTCCAAAGAGATGCTGAAGGCAAACATAGCCTCTTCTGGGAGTCACAGGAGAGTGATGAGATGAGGCTGCTGGACAAACGCCTTTCCATGTAGGACAGAATTCAGACTACAGGGCAAGCACTGCTGTGCCGGGAGGTAGAAGTCATTCCTTGTCAGGCAGCTGAGCTGTGGACTTTAACACTCTGGTCTTTTAATGGGTTCCCAGGAGAACATCTTCTTGGTTGACCAAAAGCTAGAGGTAACAGGAATTCGCAGGAGGCCTTGTTTAGTCTCCTTGTGTGATGCAAAGAAATCCATAGGCATTACCAGGGAAATGAAGTATTTCACACGCTTCTATCAGACAGCTGGATTTCAGAGGAAACTAATTGGCATTTCTGAATAATGTTGGGAAAGAGAACAATCAGTAGGAATGTGGGAAATTTGTCAAAGAGTCTTAAAATATCAAGGCCTGCAGAAAGCTGAGATTTCATTTTCTGTATTGATTGAAAACTGTACCCAAGGCTTTATAAAAAAGAAAGGAAGTTCTGGGGAAAAATTCCCCGTTTCCATTGAGAAGTGTGTCGGAATACATAATTACCAAGAAAGTGAGGGTAATGGTGAGGGTGAGGATGAGGATGAGGATGAGGATGATAATGATTACAGTAGCAATAATAATGGCTAGTAGATTTGTGTGTATTTTCTTTCCTTGAAATTTAATTACTAAAACCACAAGGCAGGAAGCTGAATTCCTCCACAGCAGGAACATATCAAAAATATATGTCAAATAGAATTGATGCAAATTATAAGAAAAGGGAAGGGAAATGCGTATTATCTAAGCACCTGCTGTGTGCAAGTCTCCAGACCGAAGCTTTGCCTGATTAATGGATATGATCTATTTACTGATTTTAATAAAAATGCTGTCAGAGGGCTAGTTATTACTTAAAGTGAACTTTCAGCATTGAAATGTGCTTTTACCTGTGTGGGTGACGATGAGACAGTTGAATACAATGCATGTGCTCTCCTGAGAATTAAGTCAAGCTCACCATGCACCTGGCAGAACACTGCAGAGCCTTCTGGTCTACCTCCTTTGAGGCCCGTGTACAGGGGACATGACTCCAGGCTGAGCAGAAGCACAATTTGCAGGAAGGAAACCATAGTCATTATGGCTCAGAAACCATCACACCCTGAAAACGAATTGGCTTTTGATGAATGTTGGTAGTTTTTGCTTAGAAAGAAAAGCCGAGGGTTTTTCTTAAACCATGAACAGTTAGATTTCACAGAAGTCCACTTTTAGCAAATTACTTCCTTGATCAGCAAATGATCTTGACATCTTTCATATCATCTTTGTATGATCTCTCTGTGTGGATAAAGCTGTTTGAGGAGTTTAAGATGAAAATCAGGTGAGATCCTATGCTGAATTTAGTAACGACAATCCAAAGACCGCAACCCCCAAATAACGAGGGAATAATAGGAGGATGGAGGCTGTAAAAGACTCCAAGGGTTTATCTTTCATGTCCTGGAAAAGACTGGGAGCCTTTTAAAGAGGGGGATGTGAGCTTTTTAAAGAGCAGTGTGGTTCACGGGATGGCAGGGGAGCAGGGTGTGAGCCCCTCAGGCAAGGGGGAGTGACTTCCCTCCACCTGTGAACACAGACCAAGGCTTACTTGACTCTGTAGAGAAAAAATGTACTTTTAAAATGAAACAAATTAGCTTGTTTTCCTAGAGAAATTCACCCTGAGTCAGCGTTCCGTTGAGTGGTTCTGGGCAGAGCCGAAACGGTACCCAGGTCCCAGCTCCTTTCTGCCCCCACGTGCCAGGTGCCTCACTGCTGCTGGCTGCTCAGATGCTCTTCTGGGCCCTGATGAGGTGAGAGAGGTCCTGCCAGGGGATGTGAGCCTGAGACGGGGTGGATGGGGATGGACCCAAAGGCTTGAGGTGAGCTCTTCCAACTTCAGGTTGAGGATGGAGTGGAGAAAACAATGGAAGGACGGCCTGGAGGGTTCTGTTGCAGTGCGTGTGTGGGCAGAGATCCCCAAGCAGTGGGAGGCTCTACACAAACAATGTCTAGGTCGTACTCTTCCCCCAAAAGGGACGTTTGAGATGCCAGGTCATGGCTCTGGTGGTCCTATTAGCTGGTGCATTTTCTAGCTGATCAGAATAGGACCTGCCTCCCGATATTAATGTCTTACAGCCTCACAGATGGTGTTACACTCAGTGTAACAGTTACTTCTCACTTGAAGAGAGAGTTTCATTGGTGCCCTGTCCTCTATCACCTTCTTCTGAGTGCTTACCTGCCAGGTACACTCACGTCCTCTTCCCTTCCGGCTGGCCGCGTGCATTCAGTATGTTGCTGGTATTTCCATATTTTGAGGTTAGTTGGTAGACACAGGATTGGGGGCGGTTAGAGTTGAGAGGGGGACACAATGCAGCTAATACTCTTTTGAGCCTTTAGAAAGGAGTGAGGCTGCTCATCAATGTGATGCTGTCTCAGCAGACATGGTTTTCTCTTCCTTTTTTTTTTAAATTTTTGGGGAAGATCTGAGTTCACTTGCTCATGCCAAGCTGGGAATCAGAGGACCCTGAGACTGGCAATGGCACCAGCTTACAGAAGTCCAGAGTGGGAAGACGAGTCATGGTTGAGGCTCATGAGAAGTCTCTGGGTACCAGCTGTGGACTGAAGCCACCCCCAGATCCACACAACCAGATCCAATTTATTAGCTCCTATTCAGCTGCATGGAGTGATGGATGGCTTTGCTGGTTGCACAGCCCCACAATTAGACCTCCCTGAGGGTGGGTGTTTTCTAAGTGTTCCAGAAACCATACATCTCAGACTCACCCCGAGCACTTACAAAGCGGCAGCGTCCTGGTCCCATCCAGGATCACTGAATCAGAATTTTGGGGGTCATGACTTTAGAATTTGAGCTTGTAAGAAAGCCAGTGATGACTGATTCCGGGATTCCTTAGAGAGACATTGCCTTTCAAGTCTTGCTCTATCAGCAGGTGAGGGCAGAAACCAGCTGCATTTCCAGAGACCATCTGTCTGCCCTATGTACCTATGTATCACTCAGGTGGAAACTTCCCCTTATTCCCGTCTCATTGGCCCATTTTGCATTCTTGGCTCCCTTCACGTCAGCCCCCTTGACCAAGGCTTGGGAGTTCCACATTGATCTTGCTTGCCTCCTCTCCTCTTGGCAGCCTGGGCCTTACTGACTGTGCTTTGTAACTCCTGAGAACGTTCAAATATTCTCAAAATTGAAAAGCTCCTTGATGGGACTTACATTCTAGTTGGGAAGACAGATAATAACTTACCAAAAACAATATAACAAGACCTAAGGCAGTGGTAAACTATAGGAAGAAACATAAAAGAGGGTGGGAGATACAGAGTTATTGGGAGATGCTCAGAAAATGGCTCTGAGGAGGTGATGCTGAGCAGAGACATGAATGAACTGAAGAAATGAGTTATGCAAGTATGTGAGGAAGTAGACTTCCGAAGAGGGAACAGCTAGTGTACACACCTTGTGAGGGAGGTGCTTGGCGTGTTTCATCCACATAAGGGTGGGACTCAGTGGATCAAGAGGAAGGAGTAAGAAGTTATGTCAAAGTGGTCACCAGGGGTCAACTCATGGTGGGTTTGCAGATCATGTAAGGATTTGGATCTGGAGTTATTCCAACATGATAGGAAGCCATTAGAGGATTTACAACAAGGAAGTAATATGATTCTATTTATTTATTTATTTTTTTAATCGAAGTATAGTCGAATTACGATGTTGTGTTAATTTCTGGTGTAAGCTAGTAATTCAGTTATACACACACATATGTATATTCCTTTTCATGTTCTTTCTCATTACTGGCTATTACAAGGTATTGTAATAGCTTGCTGTGCTGTGCAGTAGGACCTTGCTGTTTACCTATTTCATATATAGTAGTTAGCATCTGCAAATCCTGAACTCCCAATGTATCCCTCCCCACCATCTTACCCCTGGTAACCGTAAGTTTGCTTCCTATGTCTGTGAGTCCGACTTTGTTTTGTAAATAAGTTCATTTGTGTCCTGTTTTTTTTTATGATTCCACATATAAGTGATATTATAAGGCATCTTTCTTCTCCTTCTAGCTTATTTCACTTATGACACTGTCTTTTTCAGTTCAGTAGTATTCCCATTGTGTGTGTGTGTATATAAGTATGAGCAAAAGTGACCAGTGGGAGGCTGGGTGGTACAACTGTGGGAAACCTGAACAAACGTTGATGCTGGAAAGTAGATTTTAGGGCTCAAAGTGGCTAAACTTGCACGATGTGGAATTCGGGAACAAGCAAAGACACTCCCTCCTGAACTACACTCCTGTCCCAGTGACACTCTGGGCGCCTTGTTTCTGGTGTGCTGAACTGGAGAGTGCAGAAGTGAGTATGGTGAAGGCCTGATGAGGCAGCAGCAGGTCGGCAATGGGAACAGGCCTCTTTTGGGGCATCAGGTAGAGTTACCTCTGTGTTCTGCCAAGAAGGAGACACCGCAGTAACCTGGGATAAAAAGGTGGACAAAAATAGCTAGGATCCCTTTTGAGGCTGTGCAGGTAAAGGTCTAGACACAGCACCCATTTAGTTTGATTGCAGTGTTCTTCACCCACAAGTTGGGAACACTAATAGTTACAAACCTGGTGGCTGGTTGGGAAGATTAAATAAAGGAATGCACTTCGAATGCTCAGACTGGAGGCTACCACCTAACAGTGCTCAATCCATGGCGTGGTCATAGCTGGTAGAAAACAAACGGCAGCTCTGCCTGGGATTGTTTCCTCCTGTCTTAGACCAAGAGTGGTAATCGGGAAAAACTCATCAAGGTAAAGAATCTGACATTCAGAGCATTAGTTACGTGAGGATTATCTTCCAGTTATGAATGGAAATTCGAAACCTTAAAAGCAGGCCTATTTGTTTACATAGCTTATTTGTTGTTCAAAGGAAGATTGCGATAATGCAGTTTTTACTCCCTGTGGCTTCCAGCGGAGATTTGAGACTAGGTTTTATTTGGGTTCTGAAAGTTGGGAGCTCTTTGCTGCCGTATTTTCATGATCACTTCTGCTCTGTTCAGCCTCCTTAACCCACTTTCTAGATTGGTCTTTGTCAAGGTGTGTCCCATGGACCACCTCCAACAGGATTACCTCCCAGGGCTTTTTAAGACTGCAGGCCTACCTCAGAAGTGGGAATAAGAAAGGCGAATGACTCAGACACAGAGAACAAACTTACGGTCAGCAGGGAGGACGGGCAGCGGGAAGGGACAAATTGGAAATTTGAATATTGCACCTCCTGGGGAGTGATGAAAATGTTAGCTGTCTTGACGTGGTAGTGGTTTCACTGATGTATACATCTATCAAAATCCATCAAATTGTACACCTGAAATATGTGCAGTTTACTCTACAGGAGCAATACCACAATAAAGACTTTTTAAAAAAAGGGTGAACTATTGAAAAGCTCTGCAGGTGATTTGAAAATTTGAAAAATACCAGAAGTTTCAACCAACCATTGTTTTTTTTTTAATGCTGTTGGATTGGAAGAATCAATACAACCATTGTTTTCTTCAAGTATTTCATGTGTTTCTCAAGTCATCTCATGTTCTTATATCAAATATTTCACTTTCTTTCAAGTACAGAAGACAGCATATAGGATACAAAAGCCCTGGATAAGGGCTTAGAACCCATATTCCCAACCCTACTGTTCAAATAACCACTTTACATAATACAAACAGAAAGAACTTCTATTTATATTAATCTAATGTTGTAGTTTTCCATATGAAGATTAGTCATTCCTGCTAATCATACTGTATTATGTAATATGCTTATTATTATCCAGAAAGACAGTGGAGATGCAGCAATATAGGGGCATACACGTGTGTCAGACTCTGACTCTCACTTTGTGATTTGAAACGAATTATGCAATTTATCCATGCCTCAATTTGCTTATCTTAATATGGGGCTGAAAATACTCATTTAATAATACTATGACATTAAATTATTATATTATTGTAAATAGTAGATTTTTGAAACCAGTTCCACAGAAAAAAGTCCGCTTACTTGTATCATTTGCAGAAACGCGTCCTGATAGGGCTGAGTTTGGGCGGTGGGTAAGAGGCTGCCCGAGGACGCGGATACTGGGGCTTCGTTCCTAGAAGTGCTTTAAGATAGAAACTCACAAAGGCTAATAACTCAGATAATGACATTTTTGTGCTAAAAGATCACTTTAAGATTTAAAGTCCCAGAGAACAGGATGCCATTCAGAATCCCGGGCATTTTAAGCTCTAAAACAACAGTTAATAACAAACGATAGTTAAAAGAGGAGACGTGGAAGTCGCTTCCCCTGGGATGGGGTGAGAAGACTCTCCAGTGGATCTGGTGAGAATGTACAATCACTGAATACGTGAAATGAATGGGTTCATCTGACAGCTGTTACACTTGAAGCCTCAGAAACGAGTTTTTAGGTCAAAAGCCTCTCCAATAAAGGGTTTTATTTCCTTAAGAGCAAAAGGCTAGATCAAGAATAAAGTTGACCTGCTATCAAGAAAACAACTAGGTCCTCCAGGTAAGTGGGGATTTTTAAAAAAACAGTATTTGTTTTCCTGTGGTCACTTTGGTAGCAGTGAAAGGTCTGGAAATTTATTTTTTTACGGTCAGGCTGGAGAATGAAAACCTTTCCAACAGGGAGCAAGAATAGGGCAGGGAAGCACCTGGCTATCCATCACACGGGAAGGGTGTCTTGCAGAGGCTGCCACTTCTGAGGCAGCGCCATCCCGGGAAAGGCAGGAAGAAGGTGCTTCCTGTCCTGAGCTGGGCAGTGTGGGAGCTGGAGGCTGCCCGAGAGATGCTGCGTTTCTTGCTGCCCGTGGCCTCAAAGCCTAAGCAAGCGTGCGCTAACTTCGTGTTTCACATTTTTTCTATATGAAATTAGCTGTTCACCCTGTCAGTCACCATTTTTTAAGAGGCCCTGGGGAAGCTGACAGGGCCGAGTATTTTTAGCTTCTTTATCGGATTAACACTTTTCTTTTGGGCTCTAACAAAGGAGTACTTCTTACAGGTTAAGATGTAGACAAAAGGCTCAATACTTGGGAAAATTCTGATGGACTCAATAAGCACTTTGACTAATTTTCTTTTTCCCAAAGGAATCGAAAGAATTCTTTCAGGATGCAAAGTTTTTTAAAAAGCTTTCTTCCCAAAGGTCTTTATATCAGTAATACACAGCTCCTCTCCTCACCTGAAACAATGGACACTTTCCAAGAAAGGTTCATAGTCTTTAAGAAATGAGGAGCTTTTGAAAAAATGTCCATTATTTAAAACAAAAGTTCCTCCATTTCTGAAGAGGTACTAAGAGCACTAACATATCTTTCTAATAAAACTGGTAAAATGTTACTAATAAGCCAGTTTATTTTTTTGGAGAGAAACTCTTGCCGAGAGAGCTCAGCTAGTATTAAGAAATCCAAAAAAGCAAATCTATGGGTAGGTCCAGGTACATGAATTAGAAGGCCCAATAAAAAATAAAGATGTTAAAGCTTCTTGTTCAAAACACAGGGGAAAAATGACATTAAAGTTACTAAAACATAAATTCTTCTGCTTAAAATATTTCAGTACTTATAACTGGGATAACAGTGATGCATGTGTAACAGCACAGACTTCCAAATTTGAAAAATTTATATTTTTGGTATTATAATTTTATGCAATACAGTAAATAAAACTTTATTAATGTGGCCTATTGATTGATCATATGATTTTCCTAGCTCATTTTACTGGGAAGTCATTCATCAGACCACTGTGACTTTATTTTCAATCGATTTGCAGGTATACCTTGTTTTGCTAAACTTCACAGATGTTGTGTTTTGTATAAACTGAAGGTTGGTTGCAGATGAAGGTTGGTTGAAGGTCAGGCAAGTCCATCAGCACCATTCTTCCAATAGCACTTGCTCACTTCATGTCACTGTGTCACAGTTTGTTAATTCTCACAATATTTAAGCTTTTTCATTATTATACTTGCTATGGTGATCTGTGATCAGTGATCTTCAGTGTTACTGCTGGAATTCTGCCCAGATAAGACAGTGAACTTAATCCATAAATGTGTGTTTTCACTGCTCCACTGACCAGCCATTTCCTCATCTCTCTCCCTCTCCCTGGGCTTCCCTGTTCCCTGAAACACAAGAATAACGAACCTCGGTCAGTTAATAACCCTACAATGACCTCTAAGTGTTCAAGTGAACGCGGGAGTCAATTGATGCCGCATAATTCATTGTTGTCTTATTGTAACAAATCACCACAGTCGTCCCAACTTTCAGCGACCATCACCCTGATCAGTCAGGAGCCATCAACCCCGAGGCAAGACCCTCCACTAGCAAAAAGATTACAACTTGCTGAAGGCTGAGATGAGGGTCAGCACTTTTTAGCAATAAAGTATTTTTTATTAAATACTTTATATTTAATACTTAAATATTTAAATAAATATTAAAGTATTTTTAAGTAAGGTATGCACTTTTTTTTTAGATCTAATGATTTTGCACACTCATTAGACTACAGTGTAGTGGAAACATCACTTTTATATGCACCAAGAAACCTAAGCGTTTGTGTTTACGATCACTTTACTGAGATACTCACTTTACTGTGGTGGTCTGGAACCAACCTCGAAATACCTGTAAGGTATTCCTATAACTGAAAGTGACATCAGTTGCTCATGGCAAATGCCAGGTCACAGATAATTTTTGATTTTTAAAAAAAAATTTGAGTGGGATCTTTCCGTGGATGCACCTGTTAGCTGGGACAACACTGGAATGTATTTCTGATAAATCATCCCAAAATATAAATTTCAGAATATTTAGAATTGATGATTCTCACCAAACAAGTTTTCTAAAAAGATTTCACTTTTCATACAAATCCGTTTTGTGCAAATCTGAATTTAAGTATAAATATATAAAATGCCATTTTAATCTTTCCTCTGATATTTTCTCAAATTTGTGGGAGTTTTAGAAGAAACTGACTTCATGATTTGTATATAATTCAAAAGGGTTGTTTAAGCATTTTATTACTATAGCTTCAATTATAAGGAAGAAAGATTTGTCTTATTAATAACTTTATCTGAAGCTTCATGTGAAAGTAGTGTTCTTTTCCATAGAATATGATGTTCTTTAAATACAATTTCTATTTCTAAGCCTGAGGATGTTTGCTTTGTAATGCTGCACTGGCTTTCAAGACCAGAGAGACTGAACTCTTTAAAGAATTCTGATAACGTCCTGTTCGGCATTATGGTGATGCCCATGCACACGGTTTTATTTTTTAGTAATTTACTGGTAAATTTTGCTGCTTCGGTGCTGGTAGTTCCCATTCAGGTATTCAGGCTGGAGAGCTGATGGCTATGCAGCTGTCTCAGGGACCAGCTCCAGAGAGAGATGGGCACCCGGGCCCCACCACTTGTTCTGGGACTGCCCCCATGTGCAGCATCTCCCTCTTCCGCAGCTGTGGCAGCAGCTGCCACTTCTATCACCAGTCTGATCCAAGATCCTGCCCTGGCCGCCGCCTCGGGCTCCACAGCATCCCAGGCGGCTCCAGGACACGTACCTGTGTGCCTGGTCCACCGCCCGCGCAGGCGCCGTGGGCTCTGTCGCAGGTTTGATCCCGCGTGTGCGCAGGTTGCTGTCGGACCACGGTCGTGGCTCCTCTGTACCATTTGACTTCGCTTGCAAAATTAAAGGTCAAAAATAAGGTTATTTCTAGTTAAGGCAACAGAGCGTCAAATCAATCACAGGGCCCTTGTCAGAACTTGATGCTGTGCAGCTGTATTGACTGACACCCAGGAAGCAGCCCTTTCTGCGGACAAATCACTTGGAAGTATGTAGTGATCTCAACTTTTGAGGAAACGTGTTCCTTAAGATGCAGGCAGGACAAGTAGAGATATGAGGCAACTGTGGAGAGACTGTAAGTGGGAAATTATGAAAAGAACATTGAAGAACAACTCAAACTAAGAGATGTTTTGCAGATACATGGTTTTGGAGCCACTGATGGCGCCACACTTTTTTTTTTGCATAAATTACAATCATAGTGCATTATTAACACTTCCCACTTACAGTTTTCTTAAAGAGAGTTGGAAATTCAAGACATTAGTGATCTAATCTGAGCACAGAAGCCTTCAAGATTTTTTTCCTCCCCCTGATATTTAACAGTTGCTTTTCCCATGCTTTATCTGAGAACAATTATTTTTAGCAACTCAACTTTGTAGTACTTTCCAAAGTATTCAATTCAGTTTTCACAGAAACGTCTTTCTTTTTGCACTCATATATTATTGATTTTTGTAATATTTATTCAAGTGATTGCAATTACAGGTTCAACTAGTGTAATCAGGTCTGGGAGTGCACACAATGAAGTCTTTAGAAGTAGACAACTCAATTGGAAAGATGACAATAGAACCCGAGCATTCAGATACACCACAGACATCAATCAGGATGTTTTTACAGTGAAACTGAAAGCCTTGGTTTCTCGTGAGTCAGTTAAATGGAAGTTGGTTAAGAACAGTTCTATTGTGGCAGTTCAACTCCACTGTATAAAATGTAGGACGCAAATATTTATCTCCAAGGGTATTTTTATACAGGTCTATGTGCAATGCCATTCACAGATAATTATTTTTATTTTACTTACAAGATGAAAACGATTGAGTTTAAGTGGTTCTCTAGTCTTCTAATGACTCATACACCTTTCCTTTTTAAAATTTTTTCTTATTCTGCTTTGTAAACTTCTTAAATCTTAGAAGTTAGCCTATTGAACAGACAGCACACTTGAAGCTGCTTTCTTATCTGAAGGATGCTCTCCTAAGCCTGTGCAGTGTCACCCTCTGTGTGTGTGTGTATTCATGTGTCTGTCTGCTTTGAGGACTTTATTATAAAAGGCGCTAGTTAGGTGATGATACTACCTGGTCCTTGCTAGAGCTGAATGGCTCTTTATTCCTCTGGATAGTCTACACTTCTTTTTTTCTCTCAGCTCCAACAAGCATAATCAGTATCTAGATTGCATTGTGTCAGCTCATAGTTGACAGGTTCTTATCAAATGGTGCCTTTATGTTATGCCATTGGCATGAATCGGTGGGTCTTAGAAGAAATATGGACAAGCTATTTTTGCATTTCTTATAGAGATATCTTTGAGGACATGGTTCAATGAATTCCAAAAGTCTTCTTTACGAGGGACTAAGATGCAAATTTCTTTACCCCCCAGTATTAGAAAAATGTTGCATTTGTTTCAAGCAATCATTTCTTTGTTCTTTGTATGCTGGGCCGCTCAGAGTCAAATCTCCTACCCTCTACCCTTCGCTGCAAAGGAGCTCAGGACACGAGTCCGTCGGCTTCAATTTTTTCCCCACTCCTGTTTTTCCTTTATCTTAGTCTATATTTAGTTTTTAAACTTTGCTATGATTTACCAATACAATAATGTAAATCACTTCAAACCACTTCTGTAATAGACTGGAATTAAAATAAGCACGTGTCTTACCAAGAACTCATGGGTTCTTCTGTCTTCTCATTTTTGCCTTCCTGTGCCGACTGACTGTCAGGCTCTCCTAAGAAGAGGGACCTGTTTTCCTGACGGTGGCAACTACAGTTTCTCATCTCCAGATGGCACACATCTAAAACCATGGCCTTTGAAAGCTTCTTCTAGTGTAGCTGAGAGGGAGGAAAGGAAAATTTATTGAGAGAGTCATAGTGTCGATCCACAGAGCCCAAAGTATTGGTGTCATCAAATGCTATACAGCCTACCAGTCTCTGAGGACCCTGGGAGTCTTGGGCTGGTGCCACTGTAAGTCATCTGTTATCCTCGGGGAAATTAAGTATGTCTGACAAAATTTCCCATTCTAGTTACATTTGCTCATGGTGTTACAGTGACAGGGATCCAGGCCTCAAGCCAAGATTAGGTCCCCCACATTCTGGTCACATCTCTTGATGGAGTTCGAGGGTTCTGGCAATGTCCGTGTTTGCAATCTGCAGACATCTTCAGTGTATTACATGTGTCATGCAAAGTGTCATCAGTAGATCATGGTTCATATTCTGCAAAGAAAAACTTTTTTGGATCATCAGCTGTTACAGGCCCAACTGAGGGCCGAGTCCAAGGGCTTTATCTTCACTTAGGCTGCCGGGCTTTTATGCTCTATTTCCCTGCTGTTTCAAAATCATGAAGGTGGCCAACAGTGGCAGATGGGACCCGACGCTTGCTATAGGGGAACTCTCCTCTTGAAGAGGTGGAATCGATGGAAGGTACTGGGCACACTCCCAAGAGACCAGAAGTTCTGGCCAGTGGAAATGAGACTGGGGTGAACATGAGTTAAAACAGTTGATACTCTGAACAGCCTGATTAGGTATTTCTGCCACATGCTGTCCTAGCACAACTCTTAAATAAAGCACTGAATAAAGTGGAGAAGCGGGTCCTGTTTCACAGAGCATTTACTGGGGGTCCATTTGCTGACATTACCTCAGTGACTGAATTATAAGGCAGCAGTGAGGCTGGTGTCATTAAAGGTGAAAATGGAAAAAAAAGGATGACGCATGAGCTCAGGGGAGGATGCAGCCATGGGCTGAGACAGAGTTGTGGTTGTCCTCTTTCTTCAGTGGGAAGGCAACTGTTTGAAATTAGCATGTGTGAAATTATCATTGAAGAAAGAAAAAGGTACCTTGACTTATGTATTCAAAAATGCCATCCTGCATTGATGTATGGAACCCGAGACTGTGAGAACTGGACAACTTGGGCCTGAAGGGTTGTGTTGTGGCTACTGTGCAGAATACTGGTTTGGGGAGGTTCCTGGGACACATGGAGGTATTGGGTCAGTTAAGGACTATGGGCTTCTCCTTTTCAGATTAGAGCTTATAAGGTAGGGATGGGGGTGGTGAACTTGAACTGAACCTTCTGATGAGCCCAGATGGCTCTGACAAACATGGTAGACACTAGCTGAGTGTGTAGGGTGATTCAACTCTGGATCCCAGTGGAGTGGGGAAGTAAGTGTGTTCATCTCTCAGAAAGACCTTAAGGAGCCCCTAGGTGGATTCTGGGGTCTCGTGGCTGGAGACCCAGAGCAGGAGTTGGGATCTCACACA